ATTTCTTGGTTTTTCTCTTCAAAAAGAGAAGCATGGAAAAAGAAATTGATCATGCATGGCGCTGTCGGCTGTTTAACCAAGACACCCCCACCTAGCTCCCACGACAAGATCGATTGACCTCGAGATTGGTGATTGTTCTTCCCTCCTAACTTTACAAGATTTTGAGGTTTTATTTTATCGTTCTTCTCAGCTCAACAAAAGCATCTAACTGCGTGAGACCTTGGTATCGTATCGATCCCAGGGGGGTTACTCCCTTTACGTGGGTCAAATTAAGATTCTAGAAAGATCATGGCAAGCTTGACCTAACTTCATATCTAATATATATGGTCCCACCTTAACATGTCACCTGCAATTTCCTTATGTTTGTGCAAGCAAGCTAACCAGCCAAACTTAATGGTGGCAGACACTCCATGTCTTCTCCTCTTCTGGTAGCAAATTGCTGGGTTTATGGGTTTAGTTAACCTAACATTAATGGTTCAGAAGTTACCCTGAGAATGGTGGATAGAGCTTGATTACCTAATTATGAGTCTTCCCTGTACGGTCAAGGCACAGAGGAAGGTTGCTGCATGCATGCTGGACTATATATTGGGAATGGAGATGGGTGAAAACAAGACTCAAGATCCCATTAATTCCCATCCCTGGATGCATGGTATTAATGTCATCGTTATTGGAGAATTAAATGCGTTGACAAGCTACAAAATAATAATAATAATAATAATAATAATAAAGCAATAATCATATTTAAAAATATAGGAAATCATAATTCCAATGTTATTTTAAAAACTAATTTATTAATTTTATGTTATTTTCTCCATAATTAATTATTCCAACAAACAAAATTTTCTACCTCTTTCGTATATAATTCTTCGATTTTAAAATACTAATCAAACGCAACTTTTTAGTTTAAAACTTGATTTAACTGTTGATAACACTCATTAAGTACTAGTTCCAATCCCAATTCCCACATGCCAATGAGCAGCAGCGGGTGGTTTTAATTCGTTCTTGATGCTCTAATTAATAATCTCTCAAGTGTGCTATATATGGGCGCATATATATATATATATATATATATATGTTAAATGTCCAATGATCCATGCATGCATCCTTTTAATTCCTTCACCTAATCATGATTAGAACATGCATGTAAGTGATAACACATCAATATTAAAGTAATCTTCAAGTCATGGTCCGAATTTGATTGATATATAACACCCACGCTAATGACCCGTTCTTCCATGTTTAGAAGAACTTCCACTCAACCATATTAATTTTGGATTTTTTATTTTATTTTTTTGGTGGAAAAATTAAGATTGTGGTTTTTAATTAATTCGAATGAGTAATCTCTCTTTAGTCCCTAAGTTTTCAGAACAATTACAAATAGTCCGTCAACTTATATATAACTTTGTCATGATCGTTGTCTTGTTAAAATATTTGCCAGTTCTTTTTCTTCTTTTTTTTAATGAAAGTTAGAGAAAGTTAGAGACAATGCTAAGCAGTAATTAAAAAATATTTTCAAACATGGAGGACTAAGTTGTAATTTTTTTAAGAATTCAAAGACTAAATAACAACTCCCTCCTTTCAAATTAATTGGAGGCATTTTTTTCTTTCTTTGTTTTTTTCTTATAAATCTAATGAAAGTAATTTCATATGGGTAGAGTGGTACGTAGTTTTAGACTTTGTTTATTTAAGTGGTAACGGTGGTGTTATATGGTCTATATATATGTTTTATTCGAATTACATATTTAAAAACGTACGTTTGATTAATTAATATACATCATGATTTTATATTGATCCCACGTAAAACTCTCTCATGAAAAATCTTGATGGAAAGAAATCTATAATTGATAAAAAAAAATAATTAAATTTATTTTCTCAAATTATAACCACACAAAATTATCATAATATCACACTTAATACAATTTGTAAAGTACAGTAATACCTGCTCTCTCTCTCTCTCTCTCTCTCTCTCGGTGCCAAAAGATGGAAAAGAACCTACTCTCTCTTGAGGTGCCAAAAGATGGAAAAGAACCTACTCTCTCTTGAGGTGCCAAAAGATGGAAAAGAACCTACTCTCTCTTGAGGTGCCAAAAAGATAGAAAAGGACAAGGAAGAAGCGTCGGCAGAGAGAGAGACAGATAGGTCACTTTCAAGAAGACAACGACCTCTCCAAAATGTCCTCCCCATTTCTCCGATAGCGTTAACCCAACCCCAAGAAAATGCTTCAGTTACAAGTCCCTCTCATGAATTCTCTCCTCCTCCTCTTGGGTCTCTATACCATATAGATTGTCGTCCCCACCTAGGTAGCCTCTATGTGTGTGTGTGTATAAATACAGTAGATGTACAGTGCAGACTAGACGATAAGAAAAGATTGATTGAATGAATGAATGCATACTGTCTAGTCTCTTCCCTAATTCTCACTGCGACACAGTGCGTGTGTACATATGTAGCAGCTAGCTCATAGACAATAGACATGTTTGTCTCCAAGAGTGTCGCCATTTGCAATATACTTTCACATTCCTAGCTCTGCGAAGAAGAAAGTGACAATTGCATGCGTCGTCCCGCCCCTCTTCTCCTTCGATTCTCTTACTCTTAGATCATTTTCGGGCTTATCAATAAGTTGATACATTAGCCATAAGGGTTTGTCCCATTGGTTAAAGAAATATATTTTGTGCTTCTTATTCTTAAGAAAAATCCCGAGTTTAAATCTTAGAATTATATAGCGTTCAGAAGGATTTGAATGAACTCCGTACAGTACTAACGTAGGATTAGTGATTAGAAAAACTTAATTTATTAATTAAAATAATTTAAAAGGTTCGTGATTAAAATCGTTAAGATGAAATTCAGTTTTGATCAAGGCACGATAATATTAAAAAAAAAATGGGAACATCACATTGTCACTACAAAGACATGCATGCATTTACTACTTGTATATATTATTATTTTGAGCCGTTTGTTATTCTTTTAGAGAAGTCATGAATGGCGAGGGCAAGATTCAAAGCCTCGTGATACTGTCTCTGACATGTGTATCTCGGGGCTTTACACAGCTTGCAATAAATTAAACGAGGAGGAAGAGACAGCGTAGTCCATCGTAGCATTTAATTATTCACAGTATTCTGTACATTTCTCTCCTCCCCCTTTTCAACGCCATAATCTTGGCATTAATGTTCTAGTTATCGTATAAAATACTATGATCACTAGCTTTTATCACGCGCTTACATTCTCAAGAATAAATAAATAAATAAAAACATTTCATGCTTGAATAAAGAGAAGCGAAGTTCACCCTCAAAGTACGCATAGGGTACAATATCGACCGACAACTTTTGCTACGATAAGATACCTAAAAAGAATGTAGTTTCGCCTAACTTTTTTATAGCTCTGAGAAAAAGGTCATTTGCATCTTTACACAAGGAAAAAAAAAAGAAAAAAAAAAGGTGAATAATGGTGCCAATGGGAAGGGAAGGGAGAGGTCGCTTCTCCTCCTTGAGAGTCAAATCTATGTATTCTTATTGAAGAATTTAAGGTATTCTATTTTAAAATTAAGGATTATGTAACTTGTAATGATCTTAAATTAACTACTATTAAACAACATAAATAATCTTTCTTGGTAGGACCAACTTGTGTGAACTTGTACGTACCCACTAGCTTTAGAGTGTTAACATGGATCCATGGCCATATACGGACAAGAAGGGTGGGAACATGGAAAGGGTGCTCAATTATAAACGTAAGGGTCCAAAACATTACAGTTTGGAGTTTTTGAAACTGCAGGCAGAATAATACACAACATATAGGGACTTGTCGTGGGAGTTCTTTCTGCCTCATCAATTGCTCTCTCTTTACTATATAAATGGTGCGTGGGAGTTCTACAGTTTTGTAAAATTTATGCTATACATTAAATAATCAAGATATATGATATAGGAGCACTGAGATTTTGGACCCCACAAGCTGTTCTTCTCCCAATTCTGACACAGTAAATGCACGTTTTTGTCCTAAGGTAATTTTTGGGCTACGGTTCGAAATCTTAAGAAATTAAATGGTTGAATCCTCTGTTATTTCACTGACGTCAAACAGTACAAATACAGGCACAGCCTTCTACCAATCCTATCGTTAAGGCTTCCAAGTCGTGATCCAATATTAGTTGCATTTGACCTGCACTCATTTGGGCAAGTAAAGATATTCCTAATATTTTGTGTAAAAATTAAAAATTAAATCCTTAAAGCTAACCTGATCAAGTCTTACCTTCATCAGATCAATCGACCAAATCAACTCCTAACCTGACTCAAAAACAAATCCAACCCGAGCTAGTTTCCAAATCAACCACAATCCAGACCAGGCTAGGCGTGGTAACTATAACTATAACTATAGCCACAGCAGATGCATTATTCAACGCCACCGGCGTAAGCAAACCAACCAGAATTCCTTCTTTCGATTCCTGTACGTAACTGTTATCTTCTTCAACTAAAATTTATAATTCCAAGTTTAGTGTGAATGCAGCATGAAATGCAATAGACATGCTGAACCACTTCCAGACACTACTCCATAAACTTCCATTTGTTGGTCTTACACGACATGCAGTTGAGCAAACTAGACTACAAGTACGAACACTCTAAAAGATGCCCCCGTGACCGTATTCTACCCAACCCCAATGGGAATCCGAGGCAAGCTGCATATTGGGGGAGATTTTCCCACAGTCAAAACAGGGAGCTAATTAATTATGTACCCAAGCTGTTAATAGGAGATAATATGAGGGTTGAGTTGAGGACAAATGCCTATTCTAGACTAACATCTAAAATCATCATCAGCAAGCTGGACTGCACTCCGAAGTCCAATGCAAACCTGTTCCCAGGCCAGGCCTCGGACCAAGGAATTTCAGGCAGGCCCATTGAGAATTTGACAGAACCAAGAACTGGCCCCCACAATGAACAGCTCCTCTTCAAATGCCCGTGCATTTGATGAGGGTGTAAGAGATAGCTGTATGCTCTTCAATCCCAAACACGTAGAAATTAGAATGAAGCAGAGCATAGATAACATTATGCATTTCTGTTTTTATATAACTGTTATAGAACATGCATTAATAAATATAATCCCACAGATCTTCAGAAACCAAGACAACAACGGCAGACCTGGACAAAGTTTCTATTATTTACTAGTTACGACCACGGACTTCTGTCTTCATCTTGCAAATGTAGAACCCTAGCCCATGGCATATTTCTGGGTCCAAGACCGAGCAGTGGTTTCATACTTGAATCTGTCTGTCTTGTACATGTGAGCAATTTCAGGCACCAGGGGATCATCCGGGTTTGGATCAGTCAGCAGTGAGCAGATAGACAGAAGAACCTACATGAGAGATGTATTCTTTATTTATACCAAAAAGAATATACAAATCTAATGTCATTATACTACAAATGCAAAACTATAATCAGATCTAGAGTCGCTATTCCATTACAATATAAGCACTCGCATCTTATAACAGAGCCATGCCAAACACAACTCTGGTCAAGGAGGAGATGGACCAACACAACATCCCATGTACACAAGAGAGAGAAATAAAACACGAGGGAAGAAAAATCATAGTACCTTGGATATTGTAAGGGCAGGGCTCCACTGCTCTTTGAGAATGTCAAGACAAATGCTTCCATTGCTGTTGATGTTAGGGTGGAAAACCTTTGTACGGAAGGAGACCTATCCAAATCAGAAAAAAGAAATATATTTACATCGAGAAAGAGAACTTTTAAATCCTAACACATCAAATGCCCACCGAATTGAAGAAAAAAAAAAGATACAACCAGAAAAGCAGAGAGTCAAGTTTGAAATCCCAACACATCAAACGTCCACGAGAAAGATTGAATCACTAAGCTAACAACTGCCTTCTCTTTTTTGGAGAGAAAAAACTCTCTTAAGGATTAGCTTGACATAACCTATGTGGCAAGCAACCAAAGCTATGGGGATGATAAAAAGCGCTTCCATGAAAGCCTACGAAGCTCCAGGATGTGTATTTCAGGTCCTACAGACTGGCACCCCAAATCAACCAAGCAATGCAATTAGAGAGAGAGGCCAGGACTGACACAAGGCCATCCAGGTCCACCGCTTTATAGGGGGTGGGATGATGAGAAGGAATGCAAGGCAAATGGTATCAGAAAGATGAGCAAATTGATAACCTTGGGTGGCTTGAATGGGTAATCTGGAGGAAAGTGAATGGACACAAGGAATACACCACCAGTAAATGGGCTGTCAGCTGGGCCCATAATTGTTGCTTGCCAGTGGAACATATCATCAGCAACAGGACCTGTACGCATGCATAGTACGTCACAAGCCATGATTCAAATCAATAAACCCTAGTGAAAACAAAATATATTTTGGCCAAATTCATCAGCTTTATAGTTTGCAGACAGGTCAAGGCTCGTGAATGAAAAAGATCAGTGATCATCAATCTACACAGCCATGCCCACAATACCACATTGAAATATCAAATCCCAATCAACTCACCACAAAACAGTTACAATGATGAAAACTTTTTAGTTCACTCCCGCAAGTGATCAACACACAGACACCACACTTACAGATAGCTGAACCCCACTCTATCAAACAAACAGTCTGTATTTCATAGCAAATGCAATTACATTCTCATTGATTACTCTTTTAAACCAATCCCTCGTCCTTGCTACTCAACCACATCTAATCACTATCAGATCAATATGCTCGTGCAAGTTAAAGCAAACACAACGAAAATTTACTGGGGTACCTATATTCAATACAATACCATCCCGAGATAACTAAGAACGCATGTTGATATCATAATTATTAAGCCAAAGAAACAAATTTATAAGATTAAAACTGATTCAACAATCAAGGGTAAGTAAAGAAGCGAACCAGCACTGCATGAAGCAGGAGGGTCCTTCTGCAGGTCTTTCAACTCCTTGTTAATCCTCTTGGAAGCCATCACAAATTCTCTGAACCTTCAAAAACATATATTTTTACTACATATTAGTGCCAGCAACATAAGTCATCCACATCCAATCATCCAATTAAAATACTAACAAAACAAAAAATATGGGTTTAATTTTAAACTTCATATAAATAATAGCAAACCCATAATTTTTAAAAAAGATCCTGAAACGTTCCCCACTCCAAATGGTCTGAAAATAAATAAATTCTTAGTAACCAAACAGTGGGCCAAATTCACTGCCATGAAAACTAAAACCCTTCAGAGTTAAAATTCCTTAAATTTCTCAGTAACCAAACAAAAAAACATTAAAATAATAATACTAATCATACCCCAGGAAACAAGAAGATCTGTTAACAGGAAAAACCCTTAAAATACAACAACAACAAAAAAAAAAAACGATTTTTATTGACCCCGTAAAGGGAATAATTAAATTAAATAAAAAGGATTCAGAAAAATTTAATAAAAAAGAAATTAATGACCTGAGTTGAGTTAGGGTTTGGGGTTTGAATCGGCAGTAGCAGAGACAGAATAGAGTGTTTGTTTCTGCGTTTGATAAATATATTTAAAGAGGAAAGAAGAGATTCCTTGTAGTTGCGTTGTGGCGGTCTGTCTCTCACACGAATGTCTTTCACTTTTCACTTTCTCATTTGGAAACCTTCCTTTTATTATTTATTATTGTTATTATATGTAATTATTAGTTTAATACCCTACAGATCTAATTAAATTTTTTTAAGATATATAAAAACAAATATCTCAGAAGTAGAAGGGAATTATTTAATAATATTATTAAAAATAATATAATAAAATATCTATCTAATTTTTTATATAATCTGAATTAAAAAATAAATTATATAAAAATTGAATTAAAGTGATCTAAGTAACTTAATTTATTTAAAAATAAATTTATTTATTTATAAAAAAAATATTTAATAATAAAATTTAAAATAATAAAAAAATCTTTTAACCCAATTCCCTCAGGTTTAAAATTAAATTATACTAAAGTTACTTTAATATCATTAAATTGATTTGCCTAGTGCAAAATAATTTCCTTAACCAATAAAAAAATATAAAATTAAAATTAAAAAATAATATAATTAATATAAAAATATTTTTCTACCCAACTTTTTATTAAGAAAATGAAATTAAAAAAAATTGAACAAAAAAAAAATATTGCTTTATTCGGTTCATGCAAACAACAAACCTCTAAAATGGAGAGGTTATGTTTTGAAAAATTAAAACAGTAAAAAATTTAAAAAATTAAATAGAATTTTGATCAAGTTAATAATAGGTTATATCAAATCAATTTTCCCTTGATTTTAATTTGAGACATGACCCCGGCAGATGATTCATCGTGTCAACATGATAGGCTAGGTCATGCCAAGTTTAATAGCAGTAACTCCACGGCAGAGTGCAGGATGTCGGCAACGGCAAGCAACAGGAGTTCCTGACATGCAAGAACTGGAATGTAATTACAGCTTGGAAAAACCTAAATCTAGAGATTGCAGAAACTTCCAGCAAAGTCAGGGAAGAAGAAATCTCAGCAGCAAGGTCGGGGGAACAAGTACTTGCGAAAGGAGGATTTGCAGTAGCATTCACTCGGCAGCCAGAGGCAGTTTGCAAGCCGCAACAGCAGAGGAAGAAAGAGAGTTTCCTACAAGGAAAAGGGGAAGGAAAGTTCAAATTTATGCAGCTGGTATTAGGAAAATTAGGAATGAATAACTGGATATTAATTTACTATTAATTTATAATTTAAAAGTTTTAGTTTTTTTATTTTTATATAATCAAAATTAAGATCAAATAATTAATAAATATAAAATATAATCACACAAATTAACATTAAAATTTTTTATATAAAAAACCTGATGCGAGAAAAACAAAAAGACCGTATTCTATCTAAAATATTTTACTATCAATAAATAATGAATTCACAATTGTTTTTTCTTAAAAAGTTACAATATATATATTATCAAAAACAATTTATTTATGAAATACAACAAAATTAAAGAAGAAGTATTTAAAAAAAACTTATCATACTAATAGCCCTGTTTTTTGTCAAAACAGTCAGCTTTCACACTATCAATCTTTGCTCCAACCCTTTTACACCATCAATTTTTAATTTACTGTTTAGAATGAAGAGTAACATATTTAAAAGTTGTTGTTAAAATATCAGTTTAATCTAACGGTGAATATGTTGAAAATCAAAGAAAAAAGACAAATTGTTTTTTATTTTTTTTCTTTTTTTCTCACCTTTTCACCTTTTTATTTTTATATTTAAAAATACTACTCCTATTTATAATAATAACTATATTTTTTTATTATTATCGTGGGTGTCCGGGCCAGCTTGCGCGCACCACGACTAATCTCACGGCACACTGAATATCCTACAAGCCCAATAAACAAGTAATAACTATATTTAATTTAAAATAACAACTCTTATTAATTAACATAGAAGTATCACTCACACATAATATGAGACCACGCACAACAGCAAAAACACCCTCGAAGTAGCTGCTTAAACCGGGGGGACATACAAACATGGTTTTGACTTAAGTTCCGAGTTCTTATTGAATGTAAGTATATTAGATTTACTGTCAAATATACAGAATTCCCCCAGAGTTTCGATGACAGAGAAACCATGATTCCTTCAAACTACATTAATAATGTGTGGTTGTTCTGCATCTACAACCTCATTATTTGAGATGAACAATCAAGTGATGTTGTAGCTATCAGTGTTTTTGTAGCCAATTACATTTACGGACACGTCCCAGACTCCAAATCTTTGGAATATCCTTAACAATTTTTAACATAATAATAAGACATCATGTCGTAGATATAAGATTCCAAATTTGAAGAGGGAACCACCTCTCTTCTGATGACAACACATGAAGAATACCTAGGACAGGATAAACAAACAGCTACACATGTCATGTTTTCGTGGACCTTGTTTTTATAAGGCTGGCTAGTACATATATCAATTTATGCCATTTCAATCGGCTGTCAGCATCCTCCATCCTTGAAAGTTTCAATAATGCTTACGTTCTAAAAACAATCACTTCAGCATTATCTTTTCCAAATATTGTTCACTGATCATGTATGCAGGCCTCATTTATCCCATGCATAGACACATGAGAATATTGCAGAGAAATTCCCGGTAGTTATTAATAAATATTATAATAAAAGAAAACTAGAAAGAATATAAGATTCAAGGAGACCTTTTTATTTTTAAAATTATATATGTAATATATATTTATAGTAAATTCTAAACTGTCTAAACAATCTTAATTGTCTGAAGAATGTTAATAATTTTATGCACAACAATAACAAACACACGCATTAATTAGTGCCGTTTTTTTCTAGACCTCGCGATGAGCCGCACAGGTGCAATGCTTCCGTCTGAAGAAGCGCTACTGACATTGATCCTTGAAGAGAAGGAACGGTGAACTTCCAAGGTATTTCCGTTTGCTTTCACTGATGAGGAGGAAGGGCCGGGGAGGGGAAGGTCTGAATCCATACGTATTCACCCTCTCCAGCTGTCTACTCATGAACTGTGATGACCGGAAGCAGACCTTCTCAGAAGTGAGAGTTCCTATATAAGCTCCTGTTTGTCTCTTCAACTGTGATCAAATTATCATATGCTAGGAAATCTTGTATCATCTATGTTCTGTAATGTAATTAGGTTATTTTATTATAGAACCTAACATGATTCGAGTTGGATTCATTTATTAATTATAGCAGTGTTGATGAAGCCCCATCCTCGAAATTTATCAATTTTTTACATAAAGAAATTATAAATATAAACAAAAAAAAAATAATCACCTTCAACTAAATAAATCATGTAAATAAATAAAAAAATAATTGACAATAAATAAAAATATAATTAAAAAATCAAAAAATAAAATATTTAATATCACCATACGAACACGAATCATTTACATGATCATGTTTAATAAATTTATCTATAAAAATTAATTTGTAATAAATATTAACTTACAAAATTTAATAAATAAAAGAAAAGAAAAAAATACCATGTAAAGTTGCACAATTTAAAAATATTATAAGAAAATAAATATTTAATACAAATAAAATATACAAACATACTTTACAGATAAATTATCCTACTTATAAAAAAATTATTCCCACCTAATATAATTAAAAACTAATCACCATTCAACAAAGGCTAAAAAACACAGAATGGATATTAATTAAAATATAAATTAAAAAATTATTAAAAAAAAAAAAACACATGCACACCAGACGACCAATCAGGAAATCGTTCCCAGTTTCATGCGTGGCGGTCGATTCCAAAAGAGCATGAAACGGCTCTATCAATCACAGCTTACCCCATTTCCGAGTGGAATTCCATCATCAACCCCGAATTGCTTACCAGCACACCCAATATAACTATAATAACAGCAAAGTAGAAATACCAGGAAAAAGATCGAGGAAAAAAAGGCCGGGAGAAGGGAGCAAGAGGGCACGTACAATTATTGTGGGAGACGACAAAGAACGCCTTCGAGAAATTCGAGTACAGTCTACACTTACTGGTACAACACTCCAACCCAGATGAGGTGCATTTGGGTAGACTTGTCGATCATTACTGTATACAAAATATACGTCAACTTTCTCACACAAATGCCCATCAACTGTCAAAACTGTCATCACAAGCTTATAATAAGGCCCTATTTTAATACATTGGCAATCTTTGATTCCAAACTGCCTAAAGCAACATACAAACGCAAAACCCCAACTGAACTGTCCCTTAATATGCGACACTGTCATTAAACCTTCCCCAAACACAAGATAAACACACCTCATATAGAAACAAGTTAGAACTGGCACAAGACAGTGCCAGTGCCCCGATGGCAGTTGGGAGCATTGGCTGACACAGGAACACCTGCACTGGCAGAACTAGTAAACAAGCTCCAAGAGCCCACTAGGTTCAAGAATCCATTACCCCCTGGTCTTAGCCCTCTTCATACCAAGGCTGTTGTTGAAGGGGGAGACAGAACCTGACATTGGAGAACCTTCCTCACGAAGTGTACCATTGAGCATTGCTAGCTCTCTCAGTTGCTGCTTCTTGTAGTAATCCTGTGATTCATCCTGAACATGAAACGAGGAAAAACAAAAATTAACCCTGACAAAAAAGAAATGATGCTTGCAAGCTGGTCATGAGAGGAGAAGGAAGAAGTTAAAAGCGAGAGCAGAAGTTCATTTACAAGCAAGATACGAGAAAAGGAGTAAGCTAATTACCACAGGCTTCAATAAGTCTTCGAGTATCTCACGTGCCTGCATTAGCCGAGCATCAACTATCTCAACTGGCAATTCACCCTCAACTAAGATATGGAGAGGTTCATTGAGATGCTCATACCCTGGTTTCCCTCTCATCATTTCTTCCTATAAAAAATGAACAATATATTGTTTGCATCATGAAACCAAGGCAAGGGGACATAATATCACAATCTATGAGAGAAAAATTACACCTTAGCAAGCAGAAGAGGGCAATGGCTGGACAGAACTACTGATAATTTTTTACACATTCTTTTTTTTAAAATGTAAAATTTATTTCCCAAAAATTGAAATGCAGATTTGCAGAGTTTTTCAAACAGTACATGCACATTCAGATTTTCTAGAGACTACCTTGC